AGTTTGGGAAGCATTGGCAAAAGGAGATGTCAAGTCCGGTTTCAGGTTCTAAAACGTTCAGGCCAGTTTCCTGGGATATGTTTTTCTGTTCTTATGCTCTTTCCTGGGCTTTTGCTGTTGTAGGTGATAAGATCTGCCTGGAAATGGAATGGGCAAGAATATGCCAGGCTTATGTCCTGCTTGGACAATACCTGGTGTGGAGCCACATGGGACAGCCTTTGAATCAGCTGTTATAACTTACCTGCTGGAAAAGCTGCCAGTTCCATACTTTTCATTTAAGGGTAGGTTAAATGCCTTTCTCTATTGCAGGCTTCAAGATTTTTTTTTTTTTTTAAGTCTGGATTGCAGCTGAGCTTTTAATTTAATTGTATTTCTGTCAAATACTTGGCTGGCTTGGTGTTGAGACTCTCAATTCCTGGTTTCTCATTCTTGACAGCCACTGCAGCGATACATGCTTTGGCGCGTCCCTCGCAGCTTCGAACCCATCCCTGCCCAGAAGACAGTCAATGGAACTCTGGTAGCTGCTTCTTACCTTCTTGGGCAGAACGAGAGAAGAGTGAGCAGGGTAGTTTTTGCAGCAGGGGTTAGTGTCTGTCTTCCTGTCTGCTGTGTGACCCAGCCTATAAAAGACTTGCTTATCCCTTCTAAAAGAGGTGGGAGGCAGTGGCAGTGGTGGTCAGGTAACCCCTTACCAAGGGGTGAGGAATGACATCTCCCTTCACTACAGGTGAAATGGCAGTTGGAGAGCAGGTCCCTGATGGTGAGCACAGCTACTGTATGTGATTTGGGGTCAGGGCTGCCCCCAGACCTGTAACAGATCCTCTCTGTTAACCTCTCTCCCCTCTTTCCCAAAGGGAAATAGAAAGGAAATAAGGAAGAGAGACTTACTGATTAGAAAAGCGAAACAGCTTTAATGAAGATACTAGTAATAATAAAATGCAGAACAAAACCAGTCTCGAACCCAACTCCTCTCCCAATGGCAATATGTCGCTGTCACCCCCAATGCTGGGGAGCACCCCCTGGGGAAGAGTCCCAGGCTGGACTCAGTGGCAGATGGTAACTGGGCACAGGAGCTGGATTTTGGAGCTCGGTTCAGGAAAAACACGGCTCGGGATCAAAGGCAAGATTGAGATGGACGGAGTCCTCCTCAGATGCCAGCCATTGAAGGAGAAGCAAAAGAGAGGGAAGGAAGGAAGGAGAGCTTGACCCTCATGATCCTTCAGCTTCTATACTGGATATGAGAGATATGGGATGGAATACCCCATTGGTGAATTTTAGGGTCACTTGTCCTGTCCCCTCCTCTCTGCAAGTGCAGCTTTTACTTTCTGCCCCCCTCCGTGTGGTACACAGGATTTAGACCTTGGTCTGCACACCAAACCTTGGTAGTAGCTCTAAACATGGAGTGCTGTCTCTGCTAGAAGCAGTCACTGTCTGCAAAAATATGCTGGTAACCACAGAAAGTGCAGTTACATAGAAGAACTTTAGATGAGAAGTAAAATCTTTGACTAGAATTAGTTCTGTTCTGTTTCTAACCAGGACACCTTTGTGTGTCCTGCACAGGGTTTCTTCCCTGATTTGTTGTAGAACACAGAAGGCACCCAGAAGGCATGTAAAGCAGTCCACATGTTTAAGGTCTGTTTCCGGGGGGGTTAAGTACTACTCAGTCTGCTTTAGCTGTTTGGCCTTTGGTGGTGTAAGGCTCTTTGCATTAGGAAGACCTCCTGTTCCCCTCTATTCAGCTAGATGACTGCAGTCACTTGGGATTTCTTCAGTTTGGTATTGGAGAAAATAAAGGAGACTGAGGATTGTTCTCTTCAGGAGCAGAAGTTGTTAAAAATTTATAGCCTTTTTGTGTTCAGGTTGGCACATGCCGTACATCTCTGGTCATTTTCAAGTTCCTTCTCTGAAGATACTCCTTTCAGGTTTGTAGTGCATAGATACTACAAGAATTCTGTACTTGTCAAAGCACTGATCTCTCAAAGGTTGGAATCAAAGGAGAGCTGACAGCAGGCTTGAGACCATTTCTCCTGAGAAGGAGGTTGTCTGATTTTAATTCCGAAAGACAAGGAAAAGAAAATAAAAGCTGGGTTTCCCATTAATATTTAGAAGCTATCTAAGCACAGTTACTGACAACTCCTCCAGTGAGTCACTTATTGTTGTAACACAACAAACACAAGCAGCATTATGAACCTAATAATATTGCTTCCTAGTTAAAAAAATAGTTCTTCATGTTTTCATCATGACAACATCCCATAAAGTGTAACAGGAGAACTTGATAAAATTCAGAACCCAGCACACAGCAGGTCCTGGCACCTCTGCTCCAGCTTGGCCTGGACTTTGAGAAGCACCAGGATGGCTGACTCGGGAACTGTAGGGCCATCACTTGATTCAAGTAATTCTGCTTTATACCCACTACTATCCTACAAAAGGCTTGCCTTTGGTATGGAACTGTATTGGTGCTCTAGGTGAGATGATTTAAACCTGAATTTAGCAACATTGATGCAAATTCTGTATAGATTAATCTGTGGTTCCACTGTTACGCCGGGGGTTTTGACTGGGGTCAAGCGTCTGCTGCTTTTGTACACGTCTGTCACATCCTGAATCCCACGGTGAGGAAATTGTATTGCGTGGGTCGCTTTTTAGGAGGTGCACTGAAACAGATGAGCACTTTCTTTCCATTAAACGAAAGGAGTGTCTTCATCAGAAATTCCAGTAGTCCTCTTTATCCTAGGGGAAGATCTAGGACATGCTGTCACAGTTGTCCTTCTCACGCTTCAAGTACGATTGCTTAGCTAGTCTCGAAAGAATAAGGAATCTCTCATCATGTGTGTTTGGCTTCTAGCTCAATTGGTCTGCAGTGAGAGATCCTGGCAAATCAAGTTCTGTATGGTTGCTGGGTGGGGTTTAATGGTACTTCTGTCTTTTTATTTTTTATGTACTTGCTTGAAAGTTGAAGGAAAAGGTTCAGAAGGAAAAAGGTTAGAAATTGAAGGGCGTATAAAACACTGGTTTTTAAAGTTTACAAGAAGAGAGGTTAGCAGTGAGTTTTTGAAGCTTGTGGGACATGCAGCTCTTTCTGAAAGGCAGGGTGAGTGGTCTTTTTGTTTCTGAAATACTGTTCAGTTTGCTAAGGTGCATTTTTATGGGTAAGAAATAGCAAAGTGTTTTGGCCACAGTATTTTCTTGGAAAAGCAATAATATGAGTACTGGCATTTGAGCACTGTATTTAACTTTGGCTAGTATGATCTTTGAGTAAGCAGAAGGCTTGAAGTTAGTAGATACTGTGCAGTCCTCAGAGATGCACCTTTAGGATCTGAGGCGATGATGACTTTGTACTTGAAACTTCGGGGAACTAATATACATTGTCTCTGGGGTGCTTTGAGGCTGGGTTTGGTTTTTTTCTTCACTATCCCTTGCAATTTCTACAATTTCATGCCGTGTCACATGAAAAGATTAATTGTGGAGCAAGTACTCTGGTAAACAGGAGACTTTTGAGATTTTAAAAAATAAATTCAAGAGGGTTTTCTTCAGAAATAAGCTACTGCTACATCTTGCAAGTAATTATCCAGGTAGCTTGTGGTGCAGCTTAATGAACAGGAATTGAATGATTCCAGAATTGCTCTGAAGTGTAGGAGATGGCTTGTCCAACATCCACCTGTGGTGGTAGGTATCAGAAGTATGCTGTACTTCTCCACAAAGATACTGCTGTTTTTAGCCATGAGCTACTCTTGCCAAAAATGAGATCTAGCAAGGGATAATATTTTATTTGACCAGTGGTGTGATTGGAGTAGGGGAAAGGCACTGGGTCAGGCATGTGGGTGTACCCCTACTTCTCCAGCTTTCTTATATACCTTAAATCTCGCTGTTTTTTTTCTCCCCTTTCAATTTTTGTTGGTCAGGTAGAAGACTTAAAGAAATTATTTGAGCACTGGGAGTGTCAAAAAGGCAGTACTTGGCTGGTCCACAACAGTTTTCTGTTTTCATGAGTGTCTGTGAGCAAATACTTACAGAAATATCAGAGCACATACAGAGTGACATTGACCTGGGTGTGTTCTTCCAGTTTCAAGTGACTGGCTGTTCATTAATTTCAGAGCTGTTGATGGTTCTGTTTTTCTATCTATTTATATTTCTGGCCTCTACAGCATTTACTGGTAATTAGGAGCTTTAGGCATGGGTATGTGGTCTGAATTCCAGCTTTTAACCAGTTACCAGGTAATTTCACTCTGGTTTAATCCTTGTGTTTGCTGAATAATGAACAATCATTCCATTCCTACTCACCAGTCGTGTTACTGGTGAGTTTGTGTATCCTTTTGTCCCTTGTTTTCCAAGTTTCTAGTACCTTTTTGCAAAGAAGAGCAAGAAGGGTAGATTCCACTGCTATTTTTCTCACACTTAAGATCTCTTAAGTATGTGATGATACAGCAGTTAAGACTTGATGGAGCATTTAGTCTGTAACAATAGGTCTGTGACCAAATTAAAATGCCAGTGTGTGTTACAAATTTAATATTTAGTATATACAAAGTTCAGGATGTAACTCAATACAAAAACATTTTTCTTTGTAAACTTAGTTTTGAAGCTGGCTGTCTTTCCCCTCTCCCATCACCTGTAGCATTCAATACATCCTAACAGTGACAGGAATTTTCTCAGTTCCTGCAGCTTGCTCATGAGATTATTAATACTTTAAACCAGAGTGAATAGACAGCATTACAAAATGGAGAGGAAAATGGGAACAATGGTCAAATATTTAAATCTTTCTATAAAGAAAATAAACTGTGTTATGAGATGAGCAGTCAGGAAAAAAAGTTACTTCCCTTAATGGGATTTAGAGGTAAAAATAAAACAGCCCAAAAATACACCTTGCCCCAACTTTGAAGAATCTAATACTACACTTGCTGAAAACAACTGTCACTGTTGCAATTTGTAGTGTGAATCTGTTATCTGACTAGTAAATCTTATAATTTTTACAGCTTCTAGAAAGTAATATAAACACCTGAGAGAAGATGACAAGATCTAGATCAAGATCACCACGATGGAAGCCAAGGTAAATATTTATCTATAACTTGTGCTCTGAAATGTAGCTCTCTATAAGGATTTATAATTAGGACTTAAAAGCTGTGTAAGGGAAAGAAAGCTGCATCCAGAATTGCAATTTGTAAAGTGTATTTCACAAATTATAATTAGTTTTCCAAATTGAACACCTTCTGCAACGTTGTTTTGTTGGTGTGTTTTTTTTTTTTTTTTTTTTTTTTTTTTTTTTTTTTTTTTTTATTATTGTGACTTTACTGTTTGGTATTTTTCTTAAACTGGAGGTGTGAAGGTTATGTTGTCTGCCAAAAATGTTGTTCAGATTGTTTGTGTTAGGACTTGGAGCTACCTGAAGCACAAAACCCAAGAACCAAACTAGTTAGTTGTTTTTACTCAAGCACCACCTGGTGCACTCAGTGTCTGTAGCTCACTCCTGTTTTGCCTCTCAGCCCACAGGGAGGTCCAGATTGGTTGTTAAAACCCCAGAATATCTTAGTTCAAATACCTCAGGCTTTTTGAGCCTTTGGGGCTGATCTGCAGATTGATCTTCAGCACAGTTAGATATGCCTTGCAGCATAAACTGAAAATGTGGAAGTGGGTGTCCTGCTTTTTGTCCTCTCACCTAGCTGCACATCACCGGTGTATGTCACCTGAGTACTTCATGCCATTAGCCATTTAGGACTTGCAATACCCATTTGAAATGTTAAAACCAGGAGGGTGGAATACAATTTTAAGCCTTCAAGAGCTATTAGCATGTAATATGACCACTTTTTTTGGTGATTTTTGGGTTGCTTTCCTAAACAGACTAAGTCGTGATGACCAAGACCAGGGGAGTTTGTTACATAATACAGAAAAATGAGTGTAGATTGGTTTCCTTTTTAAAAAGAGAAATCCCATCTACTTCTGTGCTAGATTGACAGTTGCGAGTAGGTCCTTTGAGTGAAGGGTAGGACGGAATTCCCCAGCTCTCATTAAAATGCAGGCTTTAACCAGGACACCGTGGGGCAGCAGCAGTATGGGTAACAGATTAATTAGCCTGTGGTTCTCAGTTTGAACTCATTTGCAGAAATGGAGCAAATAGTTATGCCAATAGTCATTTGCTGTGTGTGTGTGAAGGAAGTGACTTCTTGAATTTCTTCAACTTCTATTTTTCTGATGTTTTAATGAACATACATTGAATACTTGAATACAAAGGAGAACTGTTAAATCTGGGATTACTTTCTGGGTCTTGTTAGTGGACTGTGCTGTTTTTTCTTGATTTAAGGAGATTGTGGCTAAAGCTCTTAACAGTTTGCTTTTGTTTCTGTAACTACAGGTGAACATGCAAAGCTGAGTGATACAATCAAGTGGATCTTTAGCAACTGAATCTTAAATAGCAAAAGCTGCAATAAGTGCAGAAGTGCATATGCATACGTATATGGACATGTGCACACAATTACACAAAAAGACCAAAATGTCTTTCTCAAACTCTTTTCTGCAGGAAAAAGCCTACCTGTGTGGCATTTTACCATGTTTTCAGTCAGTTCAGGGTGGTGTTTTGGCATGAAAAGAAAACCTGGAAAGGTTTTTTATCTTTTTTTTGGCATTTCCTTGTATACTTTTTTCCTTCCCCTTTTGTCTCTTGGCATTGAAAGATAGGGAATGCTTGGGAAATGTGGAAAAGTGTCTAACAGTTGTGTTCAATGTAGTAGAAACTTCTTAGATATGAAATTAATTTTAGTTTTCAATGAAAAACTGTGAAGAGAGAAAAATGATTGACTTACTAGTATTTTGAGTGGGTATTTTTACTATGAAAATTTAAAATGGAGTAAAAGTAAGTCTGGTACTCTAGGCAGGGAAATGACACTTGGAATATCTTGGATTTAATTTTTTTTACTATTTAATTAAAATTGTATACTAAACTATACTTCCTTAGGGAATAGGTATTCTCATTAGGATATTGATTTTATTTTATGGAATTTGATGAAAATGAATTTTTATTTTTACTTTAGGTCCTTATCGCCAGCGTTTAGGAGTCCAGAGCACCACAGGCAAAGGCATGCTCATGTTAATTATGACTGTGAATATAAAAGCTTTCGTAAGGACCCAAAGAAGCCTCTGCCTTGGAGAGCAGAAGATGAAAAATATGGACAAAGCAATTCCAGGTTTGCACCTCATGGAAATAACCACCAGAGACTATATGAACGCAGGTCACCTTCACCAAACCTGAAAAGAATTCCCATGGAAGATACTTACAGTCATAAGCCCTACAGAACATTCTCATCTGAAAGAACTGAAAGCAATAGGAGATGCCAGTTACCACCAAAATACTCAGAAATACCATATAAAGAACATGATCGTTCCTTTTACCAGCACAAAATGGAAGACAGATACATGTTTGAGCACTACGAAGACACTGGAAATGAAAAAGGGATGAAACCTTTTCATAGACCGTTAGGGCCTTCATGTAAACTTGAAAGAAAATGGCACGAAGATGACTTGAGGCACCAGAGGTTGCATGAAGAGAAGTACGGTCAGTCACCCAGAAGACTTGCTGATGAATTTACGGCAAGGAGCTCTTTACAGAAGAGGTATAGGAATAAAATAATTAAAACCTGGGTATTGTGGTGTAAAGCCTCAAGTGAAAGTCTGTTTTCATTATAGTTGAAGATACCCACCTTGAAACACGTTGGCCACTTTGTAGTTTAATTATGGGCGACTGGTAGTAGTGAAGTATTTGTCTTTTAAGTAAATCATATTGATGGCTAGAGTATGAAGGGATAATGTTTCCCTCTTAGGAGCCCCTGCACATCTGTACCTTGGCGTGAGGGATTATGGGTTAACTTGCCACGCATTCTGCTGTCCAACATTCTGCACATATAAGTTCTCACTTTCTTCTCTAGTGCAAGTGTAAATTGCTTTATGTCAACACAGGTATCCTCAAGATCACGATTACAGAGAATATGGGCACACGGCTAAAAGGGCTAAAGACATGGAGAGGTATGACGATGGAGAAGTGGCAAGGAATTCCAAGTGGAAGCAAGAACGTTCTTTTCCACCCTACCAGGAAAAGGAGGAGCAAAGAGATCCGGGTGCCCAGTCCCACCGGCCAGCTGAAAGGGAGTACTTGGAGGGCTCTGTCACCAAGGTAGCCTACGAGTACAGTCACAAGCGGCGCAGGCATCCGGATGGGGAGCAGCCTTTCGCGGACGACAGAGCTCAGAAGCACGCGAAGCAGGAAGAGCAGAAGTACGGGTCTTCCAGGGGTGCCCGGAACGGCAAAGAGTCAGAGCACTTCAGCGGTGGAAGAGCCAGATGGCCTGGAGAAGGGCCTGTCGAAGTACCTGCGAAGTACAGCTCCAAGAAGGGCTGCGATGCTTGCGTTAACTCTTCCAAAATGGATGTTGATCTGAGATCTTTTAAAAACAAACCGAAGGAAAGAGTAAGGAAGGAAGGGGAATTCAGGAAAAAAGTAGATTCCTCCGATAGCCAGCGTGATTCAAGTCATACTGTTTCAGATGGGAAAATGTCAGATGTCAACTGTAGGAGGGAACACCTCACCATCAAAGTGGATATGAAGAAAATGGTGACCAAGTACAGGTATTGGTTTCCCCTCACCTCTTCTTTCTTCCAGTCTCTTTACAGTTTATGAATAATGGAGGAAAGCACAGGTTCTGTAAGAGGTAACCAGGACAAACTAAGGTTGTACCTTGAAAATTTTATTTTCTTAACTTGCCCAGACTGGAAACTTACAGCCTACCTCCACTAAAAAAAAGAAGCCAAAAAAAAAATCCCCTAGTTCACTTCATGGGCATGTAGTAGGAGGTGCAAGGAGCAAATACGCCTGGTACAAACCTGCAGTTAAAAGTTGCTTATGATAAGTAGATGTTAGATAAGTTTAAAAAAAAAAGGCAGAAAAGCGTAGTCCTGTGCATTCTTCTGGAATATGATGGCATTTTTTTTTGACTGAGTAATCCCTCATTTAAAATTAAGTTTTTTTTATAAGAAATTACATAAACCTCAGGCACACATTCAGGTGTTCAATTTCAAGTTCAATAAGTGTCAAAAAAATTAGAGATCCCTAGGTTATGTTATTTATTGTTGTACAAATGAAGTGGCAATCTGTTGAAGCATCAGAACTGAAAAGCAGTAGTCTGCTTCTGTCTATCTTCTGTGTCGTACTTGTGAGTGCCTCTAGCATTCTCAGTGCCAGCTGAATTGGGGAAAAAAGTGCTAATGTTATGAAAATCTAGGTGATGGTTACACGGTAGGGAGTAAGCAGCTTGATTTATATAGTTTTTTGCAGGCTTTTCTGGTTTGCTGCTTTGCTGTTGCAGGCAAGAAATGTCATATAATGGCAGTAATCCCTTTTGGAAGCGATTACCTTCCCTTAGAAAACTATCAGCCTGCATTTTAAGAGGTGTTTTGCCTCTTGTCCCAAAGAAAACATCTGTATCAATTTTTTCCACGTTTCCCATATTTCAGAAACACATAGTACAGTGGAGAGTTACACAGATAAGTTACTGTCTGCAGGTAAGGAGCTAATATTAAAGAGTGATGAAAGGGCAGCAGGGTAATGCAGTAATGCCCCCACCCCTGGCTGGGACAAACATTTAACTTCCAGAATAATAATTTAAGACAATTAACTTAACTATTGTTGGGTTTTATTGCAAGTCCGCAGGAAGATTCCTATATCAAGTAGCCTCTTGCTGTTTTTGAAAGTCATGCATGATGGACATGGGAATGATTTGCAGACTGAAGAAACCACTACATTGATCTGAGCTCACATTGTGTGTGGAAGGCTTGCTTCTGCAGCCAAAAGTTCTAAATATTTTATTGGTTTTTTTTAAAGATGAGAGCACTAATTTTGTGGAAGCTGGTGACTGGAAATATTCGTGCTTTGCACTTAGGCATTTAATCTGATTTGAAAGGACCCAGCTGAGAATAATACTTTCTTTAAACTTGGGAAGCAGGTGGATAATTCAGATCATCATCAATTGAGATTGATTGAATTCCTTCTTGCATGCATAGATTTCCAGTTTAGTGGGGTCAAATATATGATTTCTGGCACCTGCTAGAGGCTATTTCTGATAGAATTTTGGTATGAAATCTAGTCGTTTGCTTTAAATACAGGATAGGCAGACGTAATCACTTTGAAGAATGCACAGTGAACAGAGTCTATCCAAAAAGCTTTTATATGGGCTTTTTGAGTCCTCAATTTATCTTTCCAAAAGACAAGCGGTTTCCTTGCAATAGGAACAGTAGGATTTTTGAAGTGTTAGCTTCCTTGTCAAAATAATTTTTAAGCAGCAATGCAACCATTTGGGGTGTAAACATATGTAGAATGAGTAAAACTTGACAAAAATGCACCACACATTCTTAAATTGGCATACTGCCACCTGACAGCTGTTTCACTAGGCTCAAATGATGATTTGGTTCCCAAAGATACCGTGGGATTTTTACATCTCTGAACTGTTCTTGAAAATTATCTGATAGCTCCTTAAAAACGAAGAGACACATACAATTACCTTCCAGAATTACACGGAAGAAGTGTATCAGCATCTTCATTTGCCTGTTTTATTTGATAATCTAATTCACAAATTTTGTATTATGTACTTCACTGAAGCAAAGGTTTGTGAGAGTGTAGCCATCTCTTTGTACTGCAGCTTTTCTTCCTTAAAGCTTTGAGTTTTTTAATTTAAAAAAAAGGAACAAAATGAGATTTTGATTTCATCACATTTATTCCTAAAACGAACTTCTTAATTTATTGCTTTGTTCTACTCATCTATTTGAAGTTTTCAGATACAGTGAATTCTTTTAAAGTGAATACCTGCAAATTTTTGTTCTAGGACTGCCTCTAGTCATACTACAGAGCGACAGATGTCACATGATCTGGTTGCTGTGGGCAGGAAAAACGAAAATTTTCATCCGGTGTTTGAGCACATGGAATCTGTAACACAAAATGTTGAAAATGACCCATCAAGAGAATTTACTCAGGAAATAATCACAATTATCCATCAAGTTAAAGGTGGCTGTAATATTTGGGGTATATGTATAAGTTTATGTATTTATACTTATTAAAACCAAATCTAGTGAATTAGATATGCTGTTCTTGTAAATCTCAGGGGTTTGCCTTTGGCTTAATTTGTATTTTTGCTTCATTGTGTAATGTTTAAGGAAAGTATAGATTGAGGAATTGAAGTAGCTGGGTGGAGGATGACTGTAGAGAAGATGATCTCTATCTGTAATAAGAGGCATTATTGTGGGCTGTTAAGGTTGGAAGGATTTTATGCTAGCATTTAAGAATAGCCTGTTTGTTTAGGAATGAGAACAAAAAAAGGAGCTTTGCAGTAGTCACAATTTCCTAGTTATATACAATTCCTTTAATTTTTCAGAGTATTGTAGACTGCTGCATCATGTTCAGTGCTGAACTTTATAAATTCTGTTCATTTGAGTACTACCATAACAGAGCTGACAAATAGTTAACTTTCTGTTGGGCTTAATCTTATTAAATAAGAAGAATGTTGAGGTTGGCTGGCCTAATCTTTTGTTTGTGTATTCTAAACTGCAACTGGAGATAGTTTGAAAGTTAATCTTAGAAGTTACCTTGGTGTCCTTAAAAGTTAATCTTCTGAAAGATACAATTTCTCACTGTACCTTTCAACTACTACAAGTAAGCATTCCTGTATTTAATCTCTTCACAGCAAATTATTTTACATCTTCTGACATAACTCTCCATGAAAGATTCTCAAAAATTCAGGATAAACCTATTGCAAATATGAATGAAGCTAAAATACATTTGGATCCAGAAATTCACAGGTAGTTGATATGCTTTTTGGCTTAGTTTATTTGCATTAAGGTAGTTAATGTTCAGTAGACTTGATACAATGTAAAGTGTGTTGTCACTGACTCTAAACTAGCTGCCCATAGCCTGTAAAGAATTGTATAGCTGGGCAGTAATGTGGTTTTTTTTTTTTTTTTCTGTTTTTTTTGTGGTAGCTTTTCTTTTTATATACTGTTTCTGTGTTCCAGGAGGATTGACATGTCTCTAGCAGAACTTCAGAACAAACGAACTGTGCCATCTGAATCTCCCCAGGTATATTGTTTGCTTTCTTTGACAAACAGCAAGTTAAAATTATATAGATGTGAAAAACATTTTCCCCTTGCTATCAGTATAATTTTTACACACTTTGAAGACCATCAGTAATTCTGACTCTTTTGAAAACAATTCACACTTGAGCATATTTACAGAAGTCACAATGGCGCAAGTATACCGTGTTGACTGATGAGCAAAATGTAGATAGGTTCTCCAGAGTAGCTGGAGTGTGGTTATTCCTGTTGCTTGCTCACCTGTTTTTAAATAATGTATATACCGAGCAGGTGACTGACATGTGGCTCTTACTTTCCCCTCTGAGATTAGGAACAGCCTTAATATTTGTTGGACTGTAATATTAGTGTGGCCTGGCATCCACATCATTCCGGAGAATGCTATTTTAACCCATGCTTTCATCCAGGGACATGAGATTTTCTGTCTTCCCCTTTCAAGCCATGCTTACTGTGATCTAGTTACCTTTTTTTTTCTGTAGTATAAGTGTGCAGAGATTCAACTTAATTAAGAATAGCAGAACTTCTTAAGATTTACTGGAATTTGTGAATGCTTTTGTCTTTGCAATTCCATGCAGAATGCTGCTGCTCTGTTTACAGTTGTTTGGAAACTTGTAAAAAGGCAGAGAGGGCAGTTGTTTGGGACTGCTTTTCATAGAATCACAGAATGATGATTCTCTTAGTTACTTTTTGTTATTCTTTTGGAGTTTGGATCCTTGGGTTGATGTGCATCTGTCCTGTGTACAGATAATAGAGCTGTGTTGGTAAGGTTATGATACCAGATCAGCTCCTGAAGGACAGGACCATGTCAGTGTTCAGTTGTCACTAGCTAACTTGACTTTAACCCTTCCTCGCAACTAGAACATTATGAGAGTGTTAGAAGATCCAAATGATCTACGGCATGATATAGAAAGAAGAAGAAAGGAGAGATTGAAGAATGAAGATGAGAGAGTGTTTCATGTAGATGATGTAACTCCAAGGTAATTAGTAAATAACCGTCTCATTGCCCCAAGCAGGTAGTTCTCTTATGTGTTCACTTTTTGACTCTTGCACCGTTAGGTTCAGGTTTATTGTGACTCTTCTCCGTAGTTTGTTCTTCTAAGTTTGATTTGGACTGAAGTTCAGCTGATACATGTTGCAAAATACTCTCTAATGGAGTGTTACACTGAAACAGGTCAAGCTCCAGTGGGGGGAAAAAAAGATGAAAAGGAAACTCAAACTGTTAGCACGGAATGGGAAGAGAAGAAATTATTTTAAAGATGCCTAACTATTTTTAAACACACTGATGTTCCATATATTGACATTCTCCTGGTGTTTTGTGGTAGTTTAATAAGTGTTCTAGGATGAATACATGATTGTGTTGTCCTGTAACGTCATATGGAATATAAACAAAGAATTGGAATTTGTCTGATTCCTGGAGAATTTTATAAAGAAAAGCTGGATTTCTTTTGGAACAGCTTTTTACTGCTGTGATTTCCTCCAAAAGGCTTGTTAAAGCTGTTTTTCCCAGAGGTGTTTACTAATCTGTCATTCTGTTTCACCTCTGGTGATGTGAGGTTGCTTGATTACAGAGGGATGGCTTGACTTATTTGTGTTAGCAGAAATATTGATTAAAGAATTGCTAGAATGTAATTAAATGTGTCTACACTGCAGTCATGGTTTACAGATAATTCTTGATGGGCTGCTGTTTGTTCCTTTTAAATGCAGTCTGTAATGGCAGATAGTGGCAGTGCACGTATTCTTGGGAGAACTGACTTGTTGAGCTGCAGAAAAAATGTTTCTTGTATTGGAGATTCTTCAAGCAAAAAGTAGAAGTTACCAAGTGAAAAAATAAAATACTGGACTCCTGCCTATAGCCTTTTATGTACTTGGAGCTGTGTCTTCAGTGTATGTTTGGCCTGATTACCTGGGAAGGCTTTCATTCCCTCTTTTCCACAGTTACTGTCCTGCTTTTTGTGTATGCCACTTAAAGTGGGAAGCTCAAGTTTCTACTAAGTGTGGCTACACTGGATCTCCCTGGGAGGAGTCGTCACTTTGTCAGAGTAATGTGGATGATGTAATGCGGGTAAAGGGCAGTAACAGTATGATGGGTAGATGGAGAGAGGTTTTTGTAGCTTGCACATGAGATACCAGCAATGCCTATGAGCTAACCCAGTGTGCCTCCATTTTTGCCTTAGTAATTTATTTTGTATCTATGAAAACTGTTTCTGTATAATTCTTGTCCTATGAATTTTGAATTCTGGTGGTTACTTGTCATTCACCACATGTTTTATTTAGAGGTGTATGAACACATTTGTATTAGCAATGTGCTCAAACCCAAAACACAACAAACAAACAAAAAACCCACAAACAAACAACAGACAAAACAAACAGAACTCCAAAACTGGAGCACCTTGTTTGCTGCGGATGAAGCTGGAGCATCTAGCTAGCATTTAGCTACTTCTCTGAGCTTCTGTCGGATTTGGGATTACATTAAATGGCAAGTTCTGTACAACTGAAAAAGATAGTGCAGTATGAACCGCTGAAGTGCAGAAAGCGTTTCAGCCAGCGGAGGGCAGCAAGCACCAGCCGTGCGGGCCTCGGGTTCAGCCGGGGAAACCCTGCTGGCATTAGAGAGCGTTTGGAGGAGGCAGCCTCTCTGCTGACCTGTCACTGCCTAAGGGAATACAGCTTACTGTATAATTCCGTGTAGCCTGGGCTTGAGTTTTGTCAAAGGAATAAATGTCCTAGAAAACAGACTTTAAAAGAGTCCCTTTACACTTCTAAAGGATACTGTTGCTAGACTAAGGTCATTCAGAATACAAAGTCATGATATCCTATGGCCTTAGATTTTAACTGTTCTCTCTCTCTTCTTCTCACACACACACATATCAGGAATCAGCAAAGCTGCAGTCTTTCAAAATTGCAAAACTCTCAACTTGATGGCTTCCAAAAGCCTATGAGATTCATTAAGCCACCATTCAGGAGATTCATTGGAAGACCTCACCTGGTAAGCCTAAACACAGAATTAGCAGTTCTGCATTTTTTTTGTTATTTTAGGCGTAGTCTATGCTGATGTAAATTTAATGGTCTGTGATGTCTTGCCCTGTTAAATCTCAAGTGAGGCTTTATTGTCTTCAGACTTTGCTGAACAATAAAGCTACTCAAAATTTCACAGTTCTAGTGCAAGAATACTTTATCAGACATTTGTTGAAGCATAGATTAATACAAGTGACCTAAAACCACTTTTATGACCAAATGCTGATAGAACAAAAAATTATTTTGCTTTTGCACACCTGTGCAGTTCTCCATAACTTTGCTGCTGTTTTGTCTAACTTAGCAGTAGCTGGCCAGGGATTTGTTGTTTCAGAAAGCTGGTTTAGATCAGTATATTGGGTGAAATAAAGGAATTTTTTTCAGGTAGTCCAGAAAGAAGGTGGTCAGCTTTAGATCTCATCTTGAATAGCAGGAACAGGTCCAACTAAAACTTTGAATTAAATTTTAGGTTCAAAGTGAGTTACTGAAATGAATTGATGAAGGAACTTTATGAAATAAAAAATCATATTGCGTGTAATTTGGTAAAAGAAATTTGTTCCTAATGCTGTTTCTTCCACTTAATGATGTACTGTCTAAACTATAAATGGACCCTGTTACTGAGCAATAGCTGGTTGTAATGTTGAACACTTTGAGAGAGAATACTGTCCTGCATTCTGATTGTCAGTGGTTGCAAGGGAAGGCCTGAATCTTGTGTAGGCGGCATTGTTACTAAAACAGTGTTTCTACTCATTATGTTGAAAATTCTAGAAAGCTCTTATTTAAAAAAGAGGAACAAATCACAGAAATAACTAGAAATGTCTGAAATAATGTAATCAAAAGTAACTTTTTTTATGTAGTCACTCACTGTCAGTCACTGAAATGTAGAATCGTAGAATCCTTTAGGTTGG